CCCTAAAGGCAGAAGCTCGTACTACATCCGGTTCGCCCGCTATTAACACAGTCTTGAAACTTTCCGATCGCACCTCGTACATTCCTGGAAACGTCGCATAAGAATAATTTCAAAACGTTAGAAAACTTACGCATAACGTAACATTTCTGGCTTTTCCGCTCTGTTACTGAATAGATTTTGATATCATGAATGCCAGCTTTTATTGTCATGCAGTGGTATAGTGTAAATAAAAATGTGTATAATTCGTCTGCACAGTTGTTGCTGAGAATAATTTATTGTCTCCCATAGGTGGTACTGGAGGTCGTTTTCAAAGTGGGGCCAACAGTCCTGCTGGCAGCCCTCAACATGAGGATCATGATAGTCTACCGAAGATCCTGCGAGCGTCGTCGTCGGATGATCCTTTGTAGGACGTCGTCTTCAGACGATGACCCTCGAACATTCGCAGAAGAACGCCGTCTTATCCTGCTTCTCGGCAGCACCTCCATACTCTTCTTAGTGTGCGTCTCTCCAATGGTCATTCTCAACGTGACCCTTTCACAGAGAAACCTCAGTATGTATTCGTATCAGGTGTTCCGGGCAGTGGCGAACCTGCTGGAAGTTACCAACTACTCCATGACTTTCTACATTTACTGCCTGTTCTCGGAAGATTTCAGAAACACTTTGTTGAGGACCTTCGGGTGGCCTTGGAAACGGGATGCCCCGACTGCTTTTCAGGATGCTCATTCCGCCGTCGTGGCAAAACAACTGATGGCGACGAAGTTGAACGCAACGCCGACTTTGACCACGGCGTCTGCAAGCAATAACAACGCAACAGTTATGTGCCTGCCTGTGGTTCCCAACAACACGGCACAGAAATTGTGGAAGGGGTTCAAGAGACCAATTCAGGGCACTTGTGGTTACGTGCACAATGGTAGTGCCAGTGTATAACATTGATCTCGTTAAGAGGCTTCAGTCCTATTTATCATTCCTCAAGAACCATTCCGTAATTTGATCCAGACAGCAAACAAGAATAAATAATTTCTTGTAGTATCCGATATTACATCACTTCATTTATAATGTAACTTCACACTTCTGATGCAGATTATCTATCTTTTTTTTTCCTTTAAAATTCGTGATTTGTCGTCTATCAAAAAATGACGCCATTAAACAATGTCACGTTATATTTGTTTACTCTGCATTGTTATACCATCACAACAATGCCGACTAAAGAAATGACTCGAGTAAACACTAAACTAACTAAACACTAAACTAGTTTAGTGTCTTACACAAGATTTTAAAACGCAACCACCACCCCCTTCGGGGGAGTTGGTTGCGTTTTAAACACTTGACTAACCCCCTCAAGGAGCTCCGAAAGGGATTAGTCAAGTGTTTTAACCCCCCATTCGGGGGGGTTGGTTTAGTTTCTTACTCAAGATTTTAAAACGCAACCAACCTCCCTCGAAGTAGGGGTTGGTTGCGTTTTAAAAACTTGACCAACCCCCCAGAAGGGGGTTGGTCAAGTGTTTTAACCCCATATTCAGGGAGATTGGTTTAGTTTCTTACTCAAGGTTTTAAAAACACAACCAACTCCCCCGAAAGGGGGGTGGTTGCGTTTTAAAAAATGACCAATCCCCGAAGAGGGGTTGGTCAAGTGTTTTAACCCACCATTCGGGGGAGTTGGTTTAGTTTCTTACTCAAGATTTTAAAACGCAACCAACCCCCCGAAGAGGGGTTGGTTGCGTTTTAAAAACTTGACCAACCCCCAGAAGGGAGATTTGTCAAGTGTTTTAACCCCTATTCAGGGGGGTTGGTTTAGTTTCTTACTCAACTTCTTACGCAACCAACTCCCCCGAAGGAGGGGTTGGTTGCGTTTTAAAAACTTGACCAACCCCCCAGAAGTGGGTTGGTCAAGTGTTTTAACCCCATATTCAGGGAGATTGGTTTAGTTTCTTAATCAAGATTTTAAAAACGCAACCAATTCCCCCGAAGGGGGGGTGGTTGCGTTTTAAAAAAATGACCAATCCCCCGAAGAGGGTTTGGTCAAGTGTTTTAACCCATAGGGGGGGGGAGTTGGTTTAGTTTCTTACTCAAGATTTAAAACGCAACCAACCTCCCCCGAAGGGGGGGTTGGTTTAGTTTCTTACCCAAAATTTTAAAACACAACCAACCCGTCTTCGGGGGGGTTGGTTGCGTTTTAAAAATTTGACCAACCGCAGAAGGGAGGTTGGTCAAGTGTTTTAACCCCCTATTCAGGGGGGGTTGGTTTAGTTTCTTACCCAAGATTTTAAAACGCAACGTTGCATTTTAAAAATTTGACCAACCCCCCGAGGAGCTCCGAAAGGAGCGCTCTGCTCTAGTACATGTAAATTTTGCTCCAAGAATTTTAATAATACGTAGCCAACAGAATATAAATTATTGATGCAGTAATTTAACGTCTAACATAACATTTTACTTCATTGAATTAAGCAATGTCTTTTATATTTTAACGAATCATATTCAAACAAGCATGGTCCATGTATAATTCTTGTATTTATTGTCTGTATTTTCTGTCGTTAATAACTTTTTGAACTTTCTGCATGTTTACTAATCTTAGTGAGAGGATATTTGATCAGAACGAGCAGAGCAAGGATTGTAATGTGTTTTAATATGGCAGAAAGGTAAGTAAATCTTACAAATATCTTTATTCTGTAAACATATTAAATTGCTGAAAAACCACACATTTCAGGAAGCAGAATTTGTTGTGGGACAAAGTTCAGAAATGATGGTGGCAGTAAAACTGTTTTATTACAAGCAACTTCAGTAAATCTTGTCATTCAGTGGTAGCTGAAATTGGTGCTATGCAAGAACCCCCTTTTCTTTACAAACTGTTTCAGTCATATTCTGTGATTTTCTGCCAGGTCTGGCCGAATTGTTAACTCTGAACCTCTTTGAACTAGTATGTGGATAACTTTTATTAAAATATATTGTTATTAAAGTTCGTAACTAAGTAGGTATACTCCATGGGTCAAAGTCCTTCTTTAGAAGTCCACAGTCTCTGTTAGCTGTTTAAGAAATTTAATGCAGTTTATGTAATTTGTATGTATTTTATCATGTTTACAAGAACTCGTAATTTGATCCTGTCCTTATCCAGCTGATTCCAGTCCACACCCATACATTCCGTTTGCATATAATAAAATATAATATTATGTTAATATTTATGTATTAACGTTACAATCAAGGAAATAAAGTCAAAGGTCATAACTGTTCAAGCCGATTTCTTTCATTCTTTTGTCAAGAAAATTACATTTTTCTCCGCGTGTTCCTTTCGAATTCCTGTGTAGCTACTCCAAAGAGTACAACTTTCCAGTCTTGTTACCTCTGTGGACAGTTATTTATTATTTAGTGTTCTGTCTGACGACAGGTCCATATGAACAGGATCCTTCCATCCTTTTCTCGGACTGGGACCTGTTCATATACGTTCTTGGCAGATGATCCAGAAGTGGTTTGCCATTGCCTTCTTCTGTGTGTGAATGGAGTAATTGTTGGGAAGCCACGGAGAAACCGGGGAAGCCCCCGGAGGAAAACTCCGTGTTGCCTAGACCACGGCCTTGCCCAACACAATTTATAAATTCGGGCACTGCCGGGAATCGAACCCGAGACCCCAGGATTACAAGGCCAGCGTTCTAACCGCTAGACCATCGTGGCGGTCCCTTGTGGACAGTATGATATATTAATGGTTATTAACTCTCAGAAACAGCGCAGAGAAAGGTACACTATTTACACTACACTATGCAAAGTTATGGGGGAGTGAATTCGTAGTTCAATGCACTCTTAACCTGCGTGGTGGTGAATGGTTACCTTCAAGCCTTGGTTGGTTTTATGGATGTTTTATGTAATCTTTATGGGTTATCTTGGGAGATATTTAATAGTTATTTAAATATGTTTTTATATTTAATACATGGGTTGTTACTAATCCAGGGATTAATTTGGACCTTACACCCAAGGAGGGCGGCCTTCATTAGCGGGGTATAGCCGAGCGAGGGTTAAACCGGAATATGACCATTGATTTGCAGTGGACCTGGTAGTTAGACTGTTAGCCTGGTCACTGTACTCATTGGAAGACATTAAAAGCATTTTAATCTACTAGACGTATTTTTCCACTGAATTAACCACGACACGGTGCGTAAGATGACAGCTGGATGAGCCCCAAAGTCGGTCTGAAAGCCTTGAAATTTTTATATCATATCCACATTATTGGTTAAAATATTTAGCTATTCACGATGACATGGTTTTGAAGGAGGCTAACAAACCACTAAAAATAACGCATACTTCTGGTATGTTATGGGCGTAAATAAATATTGGGATTTTGTGTTCACAGATGTGATAATGATGGACGCCGGGTATCAACTCCGTAACCATATGCAAATATCAATAATGCATTAATATTTACCTAATTATGTTTATGAACAGTAAGCTTCTGTGTTGATTCGGGCAACAAATTCTTGTCGCTAGTACAGTACATTGGTTTTAGTAGTGCTTTATACACGCATGGATCAGAATCCTAGTGGCAGTGACTGGACTCTTGCCCTTCTCGATCGCCTTCGATTCATCGCTCAGTTGAGGTTATGTAATAGTGCAGCGTAGCGGAGCGCAGTGGAGTGGTGTGGGATTCGAATGTCAGCATAAAAAATATACTTCTATGCTGGAAGGTCGTGGAAGGTACCATTTATTTAGTTGTCTAATAGTCTATTGACTAAATAAACATCACAGCCCTCCAATGGACACAAGGAAGATAAAGGAACATAAGAATTAAATAATTACATAATCGGGAGCATCATAATTTGTGTCTCTTGTTCGGCTAAAATATTAGAGCGATTAGATGAGTATGGCACAATCTGGAGATGAAGCCACTCATGGCCAGATTAGAAAAGCTTACAAAATCTTAGTAGACAAATATTAATGGAAGTGGTCGTTTGAAAAGTTCCCCGGCGTAGATGGGAGAATGACCATGATGATATTGATGATAAAAGTAATTTAGCTTAATTCGACTGTATTTTAATAGAAAACTAATGCACAAAGGGCGGTTCAAAATATGTTTAAATTTAACCGAATGTTTTACTGTACATGTCAACATCTTTGCATATTGTGTATGCGGCCGATGCACATCTATCAAAGGGACAAGTTTTACGTGAAGAACCAGGCTAGATAAAGGAAAAATCTCTGAACCCGGGCGTACAACAAGGCAACTGGAAACTGCAACTTCATCTACTCCCAATTATCAGTGCAAAACCACATTGTTTCATGAATGCATCAGCCGCTCTGTAGTTTTGCTTTGGAAAGGGCCTTCAGTCAGAAGCTTTCTCTCACGACACGTGTTGCCACCTATTGTCCCAGTGGTTATCTGGTACTAATAGCTAAGGAGGCGGAGGAGGAGGAATTATACCCCTTCTATGCTCCCTTTTCCCCTTTCTTCCTGCTCAAGGTCGATTCTATCTCGTCCGGATTAATCGGGGCCACAGTTGCTTTACAAGAAAGGTTTATGAACATTTAGATGACGAATAAAATACGTATTCCTTCTAGACGTTTCTTTCCCATAGTTGTACGACTTTATGGGAACTCAACTCACATGAATATGACACGCCTAGTTGCTTCTCAGCTGTTTGTAATTTTCCCTCTACGTTGTAATTGCTGTAATGTTGGTAGGCGCGCTCTGCGCTCAGTGACTGCTAGTGTTTTGTTTTGTTGCGGTGGAGTGGACGTGGAATTGAAGGTTAGTTACAGTTGTTAGTTGATCGTGAGTAGGAACCGAGCAAGAGAGGACGTCATTTATTAAAGTTAACAAGAAAAATGGTATCTCAGTGGCGACTTCCTTATACTACACAAGGTATGGAATTGCTGGCTTCAATAGAATTTAAATATTTGTAGCTTAAATGCGTCATGTTTGTGTTGATTAAATATATATTTATTTTCGCAGTCTATACACAAACGTTGTAATTAAATGATGTTGTTAAAATTATATAATATTAAAACATTATGTAGTATAAAATATTATATTTTGGCGCTTTTTATCGTAAATACGATTTTACATTATTTAGCGCTTTTTTACGACATGTTTCGATGGATAAGACCTCATCTTCAGGTTTGTATCAATTTTATAATATTTTAACATAATTTAATGACAACGTTTGTGTATAGACTGTGAAAATAAATATATAGAATTTAAATAGTTCCATGTTCAATCTCAGATGTAATCAAAATGTCTATGGAGGGAAAAAAGTATATAGCACAAGTAAGACTCAAAAAACTTAAGAGGTTATTAAAATTTATAGATTATATAAGGATGAAAATAGAGTTTAGTGTCCAGGATAATTCTCAGATCTTTAACAGTATCCACACTATGTATACGAGGTTCACAATAGTTTCACTAAAAAGGGAATTATATTACTTTTCTAGTAAAGGATGTAATTCTGGTTTCGCCTTCTTTGCTTCGTGGGTTTTGCTGTGTACTAGCCACGTTCTCCATGCCCATTTGAAGTAGTGAGCAGACTTAATAGCCCAAACACTTTTACGTCATCCGCAGAGAAAAGATTCGTAATTGGAAAATCCAGTAACATTATACGAGTTATTAAAAAAGTTAATCGTGATAAAATTATAAGAACTCAATTTATTAAAGTACTTTACAACATCAAAAGTTCAGTTACAGGCAAACACCGTATAATAACATAAACACGTGCATAAGAGAACAAAGTACGTGATTATGAACTGAAAACAGGTTCAGATGTCGGACTTTGTGAACGCTCAATTAAGCTCTGGTTACATATTCTTTTGAACAGCTAAGTAACTATAAACTTATGATAAAATATGAAGCAGACACTTATCTAATTTTTAACGAGTCATGCAGTTATCTTAATTTGAGCTAGTTCAGACAAAATTAGGTCATGAGTTGGATTACGTATTATGAAAATTGATAATTTTTTCGTTTTGTACAATAATAGGAATTTCTGGGACATTGCATAAACATTTTTTGGCCATAAGCAAGCCAGCCAAGTATTATTATTATTATTATTACTATGACTATTGACTATTATCGTCATCATAATAATCGTCGATTATTATGATGACTAGTCTTGTGAAGCTTTGGTGTCCGAGTTATTTTATATACGAGACATTTATTTTACAGACGAATTTTGCAACTTATGTTATTATTATTATTAAGTGTTCTGTCTGACGACAGGTCCATTGCTCTGCCCAAAAAGAGCTCTTCAGTTGTCCCTATTCTCGGCTTCTCGCTTTAATTCCTGGAACGTCATCTTCTTTCCTTGTTTAAGGTCGTCGGTTAGCTGTATCAATCTTCTTCCCAGTCCTCGATTTCCTTCAACCTGGCCTTCGATGATATCACTCATTAATCCATTCCTTCTCATAATATGTCCCAGCCAGTTAGCTTTCCTTCGTGTAATCGCCTGCAGAATGTTTCTTTGCTCGTTGACTCTCCTCAATACTTCTTCGTTGGTCACTCGATCCGTCCACCTGATCTTCTCTATTCTCCTCCAACACCACATTTCGAAACTCTCCAGGTATTTCTGTTCCTGAAACGTGGATATGGAAATAAAATGTAAGACGTAAACGGAAAATAGTCACATTGCCTTTTTAAGTCTTTTTCCCTTCTCTTTCTGGATTGTATAAAAAGGAAATTTCTGTTATAGATGTGAAAACATCAAACTCGACTGTCGACAAATTTGACTGTTGTCAAAAAAGAAAAGAAAAAGAGACTAAGACTTTCTGACGTGTGATTTGAATAATTTATAGGGCTGCTTGTATACAAGGGGCATGAACTGTTCATTAATTCTTTCTTATCTGGAAACAATACTTGAGCTAATACTGATCGGGGTTTCTGGTGATTCTGTTCTAAAAAGGGTTTTGCTATATGCCGCATATTTTCTGGATTGTTGTCTACACCTTCTATGCTACAGTTCAAACCACGGAATTTAATGGACAATATTCTACAGAAATTATTGAGAGGGACATTTTGCAGTGTGCTTCTGAACAACGTCATGCAACTGCGTAATAATTCTGAAGATAAGTATCAATGAGATTTAAATCTCGACACTAGACTGATGTTAGAAGTCACGCCCCAGCTACTTTACCCGGGACTCAGGCCCTAGTCTCGGACTAAGATTCGTGGCAAATTGTGATTGTGGAACACAGCTACGCTGTATTGTGTTCGACTGAAACTGCTTATTAGTTTTGATCAAAGCTTATGTGACTGAACGTCAAGGACAAACGGTTAGCAATCCAGCTTCATATTTGGAAAGTCCCTATCTCAAATGTCGGCCCGGAGATCAGCTATCCTGAGGTCGATCCATCCTGGTTCTCTTAGCCTCTTCAGGTAAATGCTGAGATGGTAGCCTGCCTTTAAGGAGGCCACGATCGCTTGCTTCAATATGCTTCCTATTCATTATTCACTCGTAACCTTATCATTCTACGCTATATATTCTGAACTATTGGCAGCGTATTTAAATGTAGCATAAATAGATTTTTATTATCAGATACATATTAAATGCACTTATTAAAACTTTATAGAGAAGAAACATACCTACACGTACCGAGAATTGAGAACCAAATGTCCAATCCACATCCATTCACTTTTGCCACTAACTTAACAAGCGTAGCCTGAACTGTTAAACTGCTGACAGAATAATTGGGATGAATCGTGACTGTTTTATTCTTAGTCTCATGCACGTAGAGCATGAAGCCAGCTACTACTTACAGTGTCTGCTCTGCTACTCGATTATAGGCACCTTAATTGTTCACTGAAGTCTCAAGCTTCGAATAGGATGGCGGAGATTTTATTCCCACACACACATTTGACAATTTCATTTGTGCTACAGCAGATCTACTTTGAGACTCGCCTACCCTTCTAACTAGTGGATGCCTTGAGTAAAGATTACCAGAGCGTGAAACTATTCAGTCAGTCTAAGCCTTCATAGGTTTGTGTATAGGGAATATTTTTCCGTACTCATCGTAAGAAAATGAAGTATGGATTCCATTTTTAACCTGTTTTAATCAAAACTGACTTCTGACCTTATCACTTGCAGTGGTCTTCAGCTTTGAAACGTTGTTTAATTTCTTTGCATCTGACAGAAATTTTTCTTTGCTCTAATGAATTATATATTTCACAATGATTGCCACTTGGAAGGTTAATTGTGCGGTTTCTTATCTCGCTAGTTTTACAACTAAAAGTTTACTTTTTCCACAAGAAACCTCTTCAATTGAAATATCTGTTAAAATATGGATTTTTCCATTTTTAAATTTTCTCACAGTGTGGAACGAAGCACGCAAAAATACTGTTTTTATTTTTGATCGTTCTACTTGGTTTGGCATGCTATGCCAACCAAGTGGTGTTTTTCCCAACATTTGTATGAAGGATGAAATTTAAAGTAGTTCATAAATACGTAATTGAAATTTCTCGGTATTTATTCACAAGTCTTAATGCACGTACGAAAATTAGCAATCCAGTCGCCTAAACATATAGCGTCGTAGTATATATTACTGACTCATCAGGGATCACGAAACAGTGGCTGGGGAAAAATACATCCTAAGTACTTGAAATGCTCCACATTCTCCATCTGTTGGTTTCCAATTACAACGTTCAATGGTTCTGCTCTCGGTCAACTTATGTATACGAGAAAATTTAAAATGTTCATTAGTTGCAGACATTTCTTTTGTTAGAAATTCGGATACGATATTCCTTCCCGTTCCTATAATGTAAATTGTGACATCTGAGCTCTTATATCCCACCTTCCCTTTCCTTCCTTTTCATTACATCGCCTTGTCTACGTATGTAATTTTCCCAGAATGCATTTCCTAAAAATCCTGTCTTTCACCTTTTTTGAGTTTGGGATACTAATCGGTTCCAACCGGGTGGGTTAAAACACAGTTCCCTTTATAGTTTATTCTTGTGTTCTTGAAGTTATAACACAAATAACAATATCCAGAAGTAACTGGGTGTACGGTGCAGGGCATTTCTTGGAAAAATTAGTCTCTTAGCTGATAAATTTTGTTTCCAGTTCTGTGTAAATTGAATGTTCATTATCTTGTTCACAACAGCCCGCCATTGGTCCTGCATCTTCGCACTAAATGCATCTGATATTACACTCCCCTAATCTCGGCCCTGAGACAGGCTATCTTGACTAAAGTTTTCATGGTTTTCCTCAGTATATACAGATAAATTATGAGATATATGGGATACTCCTTCTTGCATATACATTCCAATTCATTAGTTATTAACCAACCTGTCATTCGACGTTATTAAATTTTCGTTAAGAATCTTATATTTACGACTAGGTCTCACAAGTTCTCGTGTCCTTAACGTTTTCCGACAGAAGTGTTTCCAATTCTGTCTCAGTAACGTACGTATCTAAATATGTGTTTATATATATATATATATGTATATTTATAATTGTAATGTTTCGTCTGTATGATACTACATGTTAACTTTGTATTTCTTTACTCTTTATGAACATATTTCTGTTAAATATATTTATTTTGTACAGTCTATACACAAACGTTTGAAGTTTATTGGTGTTGTAAAAATTATATAATATTAAAACATTTTGTTGTGTAAAATATTATATTAGCGCTCTTAATCGTAAATACGATTTTACATCATATTTTTTAGCGTATTTACGATTAAGAGCGCTAATATAATATTTTACACAACAAAATGTTTTAATATTATATAATTTTTACAAGACCAATAAACTTCAAACGTTTGTGTATAGACTGTACAAAATAAATATATTTAATCAAACACAAACATGACGCATATAAGATACAAAATATTTCTGTTAATCCTTTCCGATCCCTGCTTTTACAAGAACCGGAATTAAAAATCGTGTTAGAAACCTCGTTTATTTTCTTTGATACCAGCAATCTATTTATTGTTATTTCAGTAATACGTACACTGTTTGACATCAGTTAAACGTTACAGTTTATAGAGAACTGTAATGACATAATTATATTTCTTGAATCAAACAAATTCAAGACCATGAAAGTGATGCAATGGCTATAGTAAGAAAAATAGAACATTTTGAATCCCAATATAAAACACTAAATGTGTCAAATTGGGTTTTATTCCAATACCCAATAAGAAAGCAATGAATATTACAAACAAATTTCGTATGTTATTAAATGATTGAACACATCAATAAATACTTACCGTAATTTAAGAAGCTTGTAATTTTATTCTTATTTGACAAAACTTTTAATAACAGAGTTTTACTGTGCAATTTACATTTCTTACATATTACCAGTGGACTAGAGCAGCATTTATAATTTATGGAAAGCTCGTGGCGTTTGTGTTTAACTGTTTTGTAAGTGCATTAATTTAGCAAGTTTATATCATAATTTAGCCTGAATTACGTAGAGTGTTGGGGTGAAGTGCCTGAACAGGTATCAGAGAATCGTAAGGATGTTATTATGCGCAATGTTATAGTTCGATGAATAGTAGGATTTAGGAATTGTGTCACAGAAAATAAACCGATACGTCGATCTAAAGGGAGCCATGGTGACAGATCTGATTCTGCTATCTGATTTGGAACGTACTTGGTGTTTCAATTGAAGTAATTCAACGAGTCCTAGGCATGTAAACGCTTATAGCAATATAAACGTACATGATTGCAGCTAATTCTGATGCAAATGTATGTTTCAGTCTATATAATTTCACTGATTTCATGTAAAATTATTCCAAAGACCGATACGCGTGACGTCACAGTTGGTCAGAACTGATTTTGTTAAAAAGTAATCTGTGGGTCAGTTGATAAATTGTATTTTCATTATCAGGTGATTGAGATTAATAATTTCCAAAATTACCAATTGACAAGGTTTTATGGTTCCATCTGATCTTGGAAGTAGTGCCGTGCGTTTAAATTTTTTTTAATTGTTAGTCGAAGGAAAACCTAAAAGAATATGCATCAGTTGTAAAAAAGAACGCTGTATCGCTAACACTTCTCATTAAATTAGGAAAGGAATATCGGTTTTTCTTGTGTGTTTAGTGTAACACGCCCCATTCAACAAGATATGAGGGACTTCGGGTAGCTGTTTACCCACAACAGGCGACAACAGCTGATGAAAGGAAAATAAAATATAAGAAGAATAACAAGGTAGATTTATATTTGTCCATTTGTAATAATATGAGTGAGTCTTTGTTTAGTAAACGCAGTAGTCTTCCTCGGTTTCGTAGTTTATGTAATGAAGTTGTTTGAAGTGATGCTTTTGATGTTTACACCTGTCTGTGAAAATATTATGAAAATATCTGGACACGACCTCCAAAAAACTACACTACGAAAAATTGTAAAAAAAAAATTGTAATTGAGTTTTAAATTTAATATAATTTTACACCTGATGATGGTTTAATAAAACCGAAAAATGTTGTAACTGTTCCAATTGTAAATCGATTATTCGATATGGAACACAGAATGATATTTTAATTATTTTAATTATCTTATTTTAAATACAGTAAAACCTCTCTAACTTGGACACTTGCGGTTCCACGATAATGTGTCCAACTTAAAGAGGTGTCCAGGATAGAGGGAAAGGGGAAAATATCCTTTCATATTGTGGTGTAATGACAATGTGGTAATTGTGAAGTATTATGGAGCCCTTCCCAAAAAGGAAATTATTGATAAGAAAAATCAAAAGGGTAAATTAAATTTTCATAACTTTTGTTTTCACTAAATTAAACTTACATGGATAAGCTCAAAGAAGGGCACCAATACCTTACGTTTACCGACAATGTATTCTATTTTACATAATCTAACTACTGTAGGCTTGCTTGAATTAAGAATTAATGACAATAGTATTAATAATCTTTTGAACCCCACTCTCATGGTTGCACATTACACCCCAGCCTCAATGAAATTTTAAATGTTCAGAATGTATTTTTTTAATTGTACTTACAGCATTAGCTCAACATATGATATCACTTAATTCTTGTAAAAAAGTCCGTCACAAGACACTGCTTTTTTGCTTTTGTCTTTGAATTTGCCCATCCTCTTTCTAATTTTCGCCGCAATCCGAATAAAGTTTCAACCATTGCTGGTTGATTATGAGCGAAAGCATACCGTTCTAATTCTTCCATGCATTGCAAAGCCCTCTGATGTGTAGGTGGTTCTTCGTACATAGATAACTCTTCTTCCTCTGAAGATTCTTTACACACATCGTCACTTGAAGTCATCACTTTGTCTAGCACATTATCGATTGTTCCAGCAACATCGTCGTGAACCTCTAGAATGTTGTCGAACGTTGAAAGAGCTTGGACATCAGGAATTTGGTTGCGATCTCCTCAGGAAGACAGTTTATTTCTTCATGAAAACTGTCTTCTTCCATCCCTTCCTCTTCATCCTCAATGGAATCTGCCATAAATCCTGCATGTCGGAAACACTTTGCAATGGTTTGAGGAGAAACTTCTGCCCAGGCACCATGAATCCACCGAATGGCATCTAAGACTGTAACGCTTCTTGAAAATTCGGTCACGTCTTTGCACTTATCTGCAGCATTGATTAGTGAATGCATTAGTTGCTTCCTGTAGAGCAGTTTCACAGATTGAATAATGCCCTTATCTAGTGGCTGCACTTCGCTGGTCAGATTTGGCGGCAGAAATTGTATACTGACGTTTGAGAGATTTGAACTGACGTGGCTTGTAGCGTTGTCGACAAACAATAATATCTTCCGATTAGCCCGCTTCATTTTAAGGTTGACCTCGTTCAACCACTCAGAAAAAATTTTAGATGTCATCCAAGCCTTCTTGTTGTGACACCAAATTACGGGAAGGTCGTCCAATTTCACATTGTTCGTTTTGAAAGCTCTAGGACGTGCAGCATTTCCAATAACTAATGGCTTTAATTTCGCTCCTCGCGAATTGCAACATAGCAAAACAGTAATCCGTTCCTTAGATTTCTTCCCTCCTTTACATGTCTCTCTCATTTCTATTAAGGATCGCGTTGGAAGTTGACGGTAGAATACTTCACTTTCATCCGCGTTGAAAATGTCCTCTTCTGCGTATCCCAACAAAAGGCTTGGAAGTTTGCGTTTCCAATCTTCAGCAGCTTGAAGATCAGCAGAAGCTGATTCGCCAGAAAGGACGTGCAGACTTATGTTATTTCGTTTACGGAAACGATCCAACCAGCCATTGCTCGCCGAGAAATCTTCGGTGTGGAGTCTAGTTGCAATTTCTCTAGCCTTCTCCTGTAAAAGTGTGCCACTAATGGGAATGTTCTTTGCACGACAACACCGGAAAAACTCTAACACTTTGTCATTTAGTTCATCATGAGGTGTTTTTCGTAGTCTTTTTCTGTGTGCATTACAATTCTTTTCCCACGCATCGGTAATTGCGGCTCTGTTGCTGTTGATGTTGGAAACAGTAGATTTTGAGATGCCGTATTTCTCTGCCAGCTTCCTGCAACTTTCTCCTATCTTCAGAAGATCCAAAACTTCTTTCTTCTTTTCCAGAGTTAATTCCACCAATTTTCGTTTTCCCATCGCAAAAAGAAAAATCCAATTTCTGTTAACACTGTTGCAAGCTAACTCAGCTGCAAGCACAGTACTGACAAAGTTAGAACTGTACCAGCAATACTACTGTAGTCCAGTGAAGGGTTCAACAAAAGAATAAATATACACTTTCACTGCATTCCAATGATGGGTTCAAAGTCTCACACCCTCAATTATAAGCTAATCCTCAGGTAGAAGGCATTCATCAGTCAGAAATTCAAAATAACAAAATACTAACTGTAAATGTTTCCCATAAAAGCATTGAAGCTAAGTGCATGAACCTGTCCAACTTGCAACAAAAGGGGTGTTCAAGTTCCAGGATAGAGGGGTGTCCAAGATATAGAGTGTTGTGGACATGTAAAATTATAGGATATTCGCCGGTTCCAATTAAAAGTGTCCAATATAGAGGGGTGTCCAGGATATAGGGTGTCCAACTAGAGGGGTTTTACTGTACATTGTGATTTGACGGAATAACCAAATAATTTAATTTTAATTTAATAAATCACAATATGACGCAACTACACTATCTTATAATGAAGTTGTTTCTACTCGTTAAATTTATGTAACAGTATAAGGTAAACTGCAAAGAACGTGGTCCTTAGTCGTCGGTGCCCCCAGACGAGTGCATCGGTAATACTTTAAGACAGGCATCCACGACTACCTTCCGCATCGTTTGAAATTCGCCTTATACTCTACTTAAGTTATGCAGATGATGAAATCCCGATATTGGTGTCCCCTCTTTATTCATTATGGAAATCTGGCCAACATTTTGCGAAATACTAAGGCTGTTCAATGGAGGATGTTCAAATAAACACAAAATCGTGAAATTCCACTGCTTATTGAAGACGGTTTTGGTCTGCCCATCTACTTTTATAACAGCCTATTTTCGTCGCCCTTGGCTGGAAAAAATGCTACGAAAAACATAGAATTTTAGTTCTGACGGTGGAGATTCTGGTAGCAAGAAATAGGGTATTGCGGGGTCTATACTTGGCAGGATGTAGCTTCAGTGGCCATGAAGATGTTTTCACATTTAAGTTAATTTATGAATAAGAAAACTTAGTCATTTTAATGAGATTTTCAAAGTTCAATTCTGTAATAAATTGTGTTAGTTTTCGACACAAAAAATAGGTTTATTCCCGTCATATTTGACGGGCCATACAACGTTAGGAGGAAAACAGAAAGACCGTCACCTGAATGATTGAACAAAAGTCTAGTAAACTCCAACGCAGTTAACAATACATGCATATTGCCACTGCCTGATTCGGCGGAACAAAACACAAACTTTCTTATCTTAGTTTCATCATCGGTACTTAACACTTTTGAAATACAAAAATATAAAATTTCAAATTCTTTGGACTGCATGTTTCGGCGCGATTGTGCTATCCTCAGATCCACCAGTTTCAACACAAATATAAATTGAAAGACGTGTTTGTAGTTAGCATATTCATGTGATGTTCACTCCACACATACACGTAAGCAGAAAACAAGTTTGAAATACAATCTTAAATATTAATACATGTCGTTAAAATATCTACTGGACTCTCTGGTTTATCAAGCCTCAGAATAAATAGACAGGAAAATGCACATTAATGATTAATGATGAATGATGAAGAAACGTTACAGGTCTGAAACAACGCCTTTATTGAAAGGGCATACACACATCTAGCGTCACGTGATCATGCTAAATAATTAACGTGATCACCACTCACTGTTACAGTGAGTGATTCTGTTACTGACAGCCCACACACTTAATTCTATCCACTTCCGCCACGCTCCACAGAGTGACGTCACTGACATTTCCTAATGACAAAATTCCATAAATTGCAGAAAATCTGATTCAAACCTGAAGAAATGGCTTTACATCCACTTCAAAATTGTCAAGATTAATAATACGACACGTATTAGAGCTAAATCACTGCTGTTAGAAAGTTTCTTAAACACGTTTTCAACTGAAGTGGTATTGGATAAAAATTTTGAAGAAGGTACTGAGAATGAGTGAATGGCAGCGCCGTGGCTTATTTTAAGACTTCGCCTTGACAAAGTGAGAAAAATTAAATATAACCTCATAAATAACGTCCAGTCCGAGTTATCCCAGTTCGACTGTAATAAATAAAGTAGAAAGATCAAGTAAGTATTATATGCAATCAAGAAGTTAATCATTGTAAGACTTGAGGTTCTCACAGCGGTGAATATGAAGATTTCTGTCTTCTGGGTTATTGCGCTGTGTAGTCTGGTCGATGTTAACCAACGTTTGAGAGGTCACACTGCCTCCGTCATCAGGGCGATTATCGCCCTGATGACGGAGGCAGTATGACTTCTGAAACGTTGGTTAACATCGACCAGACTACACAGCGCAATAACCCAGAAGACAGAAATCTTCATATTCACCGCTGTGAGAACCTCAAGTCTTACAATGATTAACTTCTTGATTGCATATAATACTTACTTGATCTTTCTACTTTATTTATTACAGTCGAACTGGGATAACTCGGACTGGACGTTATTTATGAGGTTATATTTAATTTTTCTCACTTTGTCAAGGCGAAGTCTTAAAATAAGCCACGGCGCTGCCATTCACTCATTCTCAGTACCTTCTTCAAAATTTTTATCCAAT